GATCAAGTTGTACAAAATATTATCCCGATGTTCTTGGGGAACTTTCGGTACCGCTGCTGAAGATATCAGATTAAAATCATTATTTTTATTGCATCATTATTTTTAATGTGAAATCAAGTTATTCGCTGAGTGTCTAATTAACAGTATGTTTAGAAAAGAATTAAGAAAATTTATTTTGCTTGACGAACTCCCTCCTACCGTCATGATCTTCACTGTCAAGGAAACTGAAACGAGTTGAAACAGACTGTTCTGCCTTAAGGAGTAGAAAAATTCCGCCAACGCATTGCAAATGATGGATGGTCAATAAGGCAAATATCATAAACGGATCCAAAGTGGTTCATGAAAACTTCTGCTGAGAGTAGATTCCACTGCCATCCCACATGACTGACGATAGAAGCTAACCATCATATCCAAAGCATATGTTATGAAGTGCCCCAGAAACATGAATACGGTGCAATTTTAAGTACTAGGTAATTCATAAGAATGAAAGTGTGTTCACCAGGGTATCGGAATAACACAGTACAGTGCGGTCAAGAAGCTTATGTAGGAGCAACTCCAAACAATAGCAGTCTCTAACACAAATGAATGAATAAAATACTGAATTAAGATCTGAGTGAATGAACGAATGTACGACGTAGGGAAGGAGGAAACGACAGAGGAGCAACGAATGAACGAACTAAATAACTGATGAATAAACGACCGAGCAGATATTCAACGGTGCAAACCTTGCATTGCATATGCTAGCAACGTACCAGAATCCAGTTCCAAAAAATACGGCAGAGGTCCGGCGCTGTTCACTGCGCCCGGCACCGAGCCGTACGACTTGTAACGATGCAGGGCGTTCTGTCTTCGACGTACGTGAAACGTTATGGCACCTAAAGCAGCGCTGTACAGTATACGTGGACAAAGAAAGGCATATGAACTTGGGTCGCCTCGAGCGATGATGATCAGCGGACAGTCGTCGTCATCCAAAACGTTTTCTCGATATTCGGGAACGCCCGATGTTGTCGGCAGAGCTTCGACTTCCACCAGACAGAAGTTTGCCTGATCGTTCACGTCGAATCCATATTTGTCGAGCGTGTCCCTGAGAATTTTGTCGGTGCGGTCTCGCATCGAAACCAGCAACGTCACGTAAGGACGGGTTGCACTAAGTTCTTCACCGTAGATCTTCAGGCTTCCGCCTAAACGAAGCGAGCCGGTAAACACGGCACGATCATCGACTGTGCATCAACAATTTAGTTAAGAAAAACGACAGTTTCCTAATATTAAATTAAATAGCAGTAGCGCACGGATTCGTCGCTTCATTCTGCACCTTAGTATAACCATAATAAATTCGAATCCCAGTGCTAGTAATTCCTTTCCGCAGTGAACTCAGTCCACTGTGCTTCAGCGTAATCAGGAAACGGTGCGAAACAGCAACAGTCTGCGAGCAACAGGAACAGCACCTTGTCGTACAGATAGTGGTCATGCTAGAACGTGCGACTCCTACGATCAAACCGGGAGAGCTGAATGAACAGCACTGCTGACAGAAGTGTTGTTCAACTACTGCAATTCAGTAACAACCTTAGCATACCTTCGGCACAATCTGTGATCTCAATGCCGTGGGACGCATCTGCCTAGAAATGATTGTAGTACATCTAGACTTCACCGACTCTTCGATACGTCTGAGCGGCCCAGGAAACGACGGATTTTCCGTGAAGACGCTGGACAGAACCGTCATTACAAATGGCAGTGAACGAAAAAAAGTCAACCATTCCTTCGTTACAGTCCTTTTTTATAAAATGTAGAACGCAAATACTGTCCTTCAATAACTTACCACGACTGTAGTATATAAGTTCGCTATACTTTTAATGGAAAATAGTGCCTTCAATGTCTTTTTCAGGAGCAGGAGAACTAATTTGTGTGTCCTGTTCTACAAATTATTTCAGTCTCGATCCCTCAAAGAAGTTAGTGAGAGTGTACAAAATAAATTGTAATTCTTGCAATGCCATTCATATCGGAAAGACATTTAAATCTTGCAAGATGACGTCAGCGAAAGACAACAGGGCCATCGTTAACACGCACAAGGAGCACTGACGCTTTAAAAGCCATGGCTTAGATAATCATCATGAATTTAACACAGAATTCACTAACGAAAGGTATGAAAAGAATGTAATTATTAACCAAACAATCTGCAGCTTCAGGTCAGGCCGAAGCACCTCTCACCAGATCCTCGACATACGCCAAGGTGACAAATTGTGCGAGTTCACTACTGTAATTCAAGTCCGCTATCCGTCACTTTGTGAACCTAGAGAAAGCTTATGACCAGATCCCGCGAAGAGTATGTGCGAACATGTGGTATCGATGGCCAATTAATACCGTCGATTCTATCACTACATGCCGATAGCAGGTGCTGTGTCAGAGTTAATGGCGTTAAGTCGAAACCATTCAACGTTCGCCCTGGTCTCCGCCAAGGCTGCGTCCTGTCCCCTATCCTGTTTGTGTTGTAAATGGACAAAATAGTCAGGAGTTGCCAAGGCGATGAGGGTATCGGTGTAGGAGATGTGAAGTCGAGAAGGCTGCTGTTTGTAGACGACCTTGTTTTCTTAGCATCTTCTGAAACTGATCTCGAGTGCTCCTTAGAAAGGTTCGCAGCCGAGTGCGACGTGACCGGCATGCGTGTGAACG